AAAAAAAAAAAAAAAAAAAAAAAAAAAAAAAAAAAAAAAAAAAAAAAAAAAAAATCATTAGATATATCAATTTAACCGAATTTTAAATCCAAGAGATTTATCATGGTTAGCTAAACAGGGCCGAGACCATAGATTATATGCGAGATCCCACATCTGTGGAGGAGAACAAAACATTTTTGTATAAGGGTGTGGAAACCTCTATGTAATAGACGCGTTTTAAAAATCTTGAGAAGAAGCTGAAAAGTAAAGCATTATATTTCTTATTCATGACCCGGCCCAAATCCCATTCCATCCAACATGTCAACCTTGCCCAAATCCGATTCATCCCGTCTGTCTCACTTTACATGTAGGTTCAACATCATATTATATTTATAAATATAATTAATATATTTTTAATAAAAAGTATACATTAAAATATTTTTCTAACACAAATAATTTTTAATTTTCTTTAGAACCAATCTAATCTCGACAGAAAATTCTAGTTTCAGAAATAAATGAGAAATTTGGAGGAGATAAAAGATTGAAATAGAAAAATAATAAAATAAAAAAAAACGACCTTATTGAGAGAGGTTCGAGCGTGGGCAGGAAAAAGGGTGCAGTAATCAGTGGCTAAGAAAGCTCCCAATAAACAGATGAGAAGGACCTGTAAATTGGGCATGGAGGCCACCTCCAACAGGGACAACAAATCCATGATGTTTTTTTATGTGTTGTCCTTCTGTACAACAAATGAACATTAATTAGCCTAATCCATAATTAATTAACTAATTTGAAATGGGTATTAATTTGTTGCCATTTTTAGAACTAAAAAATTCGAGAAAGAAAAAGAGTACATACAAACAAACCTTAGGTGATAGCTGACGTGGACCCTCGGCGATGAGGTTTGGTTGGAACTGTCAATGAAATTTGTGTATTTATAGAGGAAGAGAGAGTAATAAGAATAATATAAGAATGAGGTGGAATTACTATTATTTATTCTTATGCTACACTTTATTTTATTTTTTTAATTTTTATTTTATAAGACCTGATAAGGTGGAATCTAAATTGGTTGGAGAAGCCGAAATTAAATAATTAAAAAAATTCGACTACAACATTCTTATTCTTGTGCAACATCAAATACATTTATCTAATTTTCGAATATATTATTTTTAAATATCTTAAATTAATCCTCCAATCAAACAATCAGTCTGTAAGATCACACCTCGGTTGGAGGAGAACGAAACACCTTTATAAGGGTGTAGAAACTTTTCCCTATCCAACGCATTTTAAAAATCTTGGAGGGAAAGTTCAAAGAGGACAATATGTGTTAGCGGTGGACTTGGGCTGTTACAAATGGTATCAGAGCCAGACACTGGGCGATGTGCCAGTGAGGAGACTATTACCTAAAAGGGGTAGACACGAGGCGGTGTGCCAGTGGACGTTGGGCCCTAAAAGAGGTGGAATTGGTGGGGGTCCCACATCGATTTGGAGAAAGGAACACGCCAGCAAGGGCTCTGGGGTCTGAAGAGAGGTGAACCGTGAGATCCCATGTCTCTTTCTAGTAAATGCATTTTAAAAACATTGAGTGAAATCCCAAAAGAAAAGACTATGGTGGATTTTGCTAGTTAATTATTTTAAATTTATAAATTTAATTTATATACTTTAAAATAAATTAATTTAGTTTTCTTTATTCTTTTTGGAAATCTTACTTTTTTTTTAAACGTGTTCTCCCTTTCCCACTTGCCTCTTCTTTTTTTAACTCAAAAAGTAAATGATAATAGTTGAAATAATAATAATAAATAATGAATTAAAATTTAAGAATAAAGAATAAAGAATAGAATAAGATAAAATAAAATCTTGCATTTTAAATGGAAGAATTTTTTTAAAAATTATATAAAAAAAATTATTTTTGTTTGGAATTAGTAACAAATTCAAATATTTGAAAAGTTAAGGTAAATAAATTGTGAAAAATACTCGCTATTTTCTTTTAAAAAAAACTAATAAATTATCAAGCAACGAGTAATTAACAAATTTGTAAAATATTTTTTATTTTTATTTTTGAAGAGCTTCATTCTACATGTGGATGTTTATTTAACACGCATGACTTGCAAATTAGACCTAAACTGAATCAAAGATAATAATTATATTCTTCGTTTCATATATATATATACTTATTATATATTTCTTTTATATATAGGCATAAAAGATTATTTTTGTAATATTCAAATTTGGGATTTATTATATGAGTAGATTGTATATATATATATAAAAAAAAAATTTATCTATGAAACAAATATTTTGTTTAAATTTATGAAATTAAAAAAAAAAACACACGGTAAACCCCATCCTTATCAAAATAAATGAATAAATAAACCACTTTTTTTTTCAAAAATAATAATAGGGATAATAAATGAAATAAAATCTATTAATGTTAAAAAAAATTATTCTGAAATAAAATAATAATTATATCAATAATACTTTAATCTAATTTTTACATTAGGATCAATTTTTTTAAAAAAAGGTGATTGCATCGTTATGGCATGTACAACCTATTTAAATTCAGAAATCAATTATTTATTATATAAAATTTAATAAAGATAAGAGAAGAAAAACAGCCAATGGGCAAAAGTCTCAAAACGGCAGCGTTTATTTTATTTTTCACACGTGTGTAATAGTATCATTGGTTATGGTGTGACAATAAGCATTCAAATTGAGAAAACTTCCACTTTGGAGATACAGATTTGCTGTTTTTGTGCTATTTTTACCACTACTTCTGATGTCTGTTTCCTGTCTTCTGTTTACTGGCGCCGCCCTTGTCTCCGCCGCGGGCGGTGGCGATGGCGGTGGCCACTCCAGGGAGCTCGATAACACACCCACATGGGATGTTGCTGGTGTTTGCTTCTTTTTCATTGTTATTCCATTGTCTTGGGAGATAGTTATTGACAGAGCTGCTGGTGTTTGCTTCATTTTTATTGCTTTCATTCTTATTCTTCTCTCTATTCTGCATGCTCTCTAATTTGGGTTTGAAACTATGAGCCAATGAAAATTGGTGGGAGAGGAGTCCCACGTCGGCTAATTAAGGGTTGATCGTGGGTTTATAGTAAAGAATGTATCTCCATCGATACGAGGCCTTTTAGAGAAACCAAAAGTAAGGCCGTGAGAGCTAATACTTAAAGTGAACAATATCATACAATTGTGAAGAATCGTGTGGTGTCAGAGCCACATGACTCTTAATTTAACAATGTCAATAGAATCCTTAAATATCGAACAAAGAAGTTGTGAACCTCGAAGGTGTAGTCAAAAGTGACTCAAGTGTCAAACAAATGGTATATTTTGTTCGAGGGTTCCAGAGAAGGAGTCGAGCCTCAATTAGGGGAGTCTCTATGGTATACTTTGTTTAAGGGGAAGATTGTTGAAAATTGTTGGAAGAGGTGTCTCACATCGGCTAATTAAGGGGTTGATCGTGGGTTTATAAGTAAGCAATACATATCTATTGGTACGAGACTTTTTAGGGAAACCAAAAGTAAAACCACGAGAGTTTATATTTAAAGTAGACAACATCATACCATTATAAAGAGTCGTGGTTCCTGCTCATATCTTTGTATTCTTTTTCACTATTCCATAGCCCAAACCCACCCATTGTTTTGTTGGAAATCATGCCCTCCATTTCTGATTGTTTTGTTTTGTCCGTTAGTTAGTGGTCGACAAAAAAGCATAACAGTTCTCTGTATGAAGCTCAAGGCTGGTAGTTGAGATCCCATATTGGTTGGAGAGGAGAACGAAACCGTCTTTATAAGGGTGTGGAAACTTTTCCACATGTGAGATCCCACATTCGTTGAGGAGGAGAACGTAACACCTTTTATAAGGGTGTGGAAACCTTCCCTTAGCAAAGGGGTTCTACAGCCTTGAAGGAAAGTCTGAAAGGGAAAACCCAAAGAGGACAATATCGGCTAGCGATAGGCCTAAAGGTGTGAAAACCTAGCCTTAGCAAACGCATTTTAAAGCCTTGAAGAAAAGCCTGAAAGGGAAAACCCAAAGAGGACAATATCTGCTAGCGATAGGCCTGGACCATTACAGAAACAACCAAGAAGAAGCAGGTTCAACAAGCCTCAATAACTAAAACACTTGGAGGTAGTTCAAATGCTTCACCTCTACGCTCGTTGCAACGGTTTAAAACTAAGAACACTCCATACGTGTGCCTACGTATGAGGACCTCGAGTCGTCTGATTACGAGGGCGATCCATTGGCAACACCTACACAAGGAGATGAGTTCTCATTGATAATGCCTGCACCACTGAAATAAATAAGCTTGGTAGCCATAGCTGAGAGCTTGTAAAGGTATTAAGATTTTGTTTGTACATATGATATTGCTTGGAGGGGGAAATGGCCTGGTTTTCATACGTACCCTTTTACAAGGAATACACAATTTAAATGTTCAAGCAGACCAATTGACTAAAGGAATGGACCAATTTGTTCTTGTCAACTAGTTTCCTCATCATCATCTTCACTACTGGCTCCAAACATGGTGGCCATTTTCAGGGCCAACTTTGCAGCCATTTCTCTCCTTTGAAAATCAGGCATCAACCTCAAGCTGTCGCGCACGTTCCCTATCTCGGACATCAACCGCTCTAAATCCTCGAGATCAAGATGTTTTCCAATGAATGGATTCGTCATTTGATCGAGTTCTCCATCCACAGCCACATGGTTTTCTTCAGCCTTGGGTGGTTCACAGATACTTTGACTAGCTTGATCTTGCTCGGCAATATCAACATCGTTTACAAGAGCTCCGGCATCTATGGACGAACCTTCTCCGTTCGACGAGCAACCTTTGAAACTAATGTCATCCCACATCTCAGCTGAACCCCCAGATAGTATTTCGTAGTCAATTTCAAAGTCAGATTCTTCTTCTGACAATTCTGGTTGGATAAAACAAAGAAGGCATATGCTTAAAATTTTAAGTAACAGATGAAATAATGAATGCAAACGAAAAAAAAAAAAAAAGAAAAACCTTCTTCTTTGGGAAATGATGGGTTGGTAATCTTATCTCCAGATTTTAGAATCATTCCAGGCCACATATGAGCAGAAAGAGCACCATAGAGCCTTTGAACTCCTTGTATATCACCATCAATTGATAAACCTGTAGATAATAGTACATGTCATTTTTTAAGAAAATGGAAGAAAGAAAAGGATGAAGAAGAATAACTTCAAGAATGACATGTGACGAGGAAGCCATATGGTTAATATTACTGTCTCTTCCTGTCCATTTTATCTCACCTTCGTAATGTAACGGCCCAGACCACCGCTAGCCGATACTATCCTCTTTGGGCTTTCCCTTTCGGGCTTCCCTTCAAGGCTTTAAAACGTGTCTGCTAGAGAAAGGTTTCCACACCCTTATAAAGGGTGTTTCGTTCTCCTCCCCAACCAACGTGGGATATCAATCCACCTCCCCCCCTTCAGGGCCCAGCGTCCTCGCTGACACTCGTTCTTTTCTCCAATCAATGTGGGACCCCCACCAAATCCACCCCCCTTCGGGGCCCAGCATCCTTACTGGGCACACCGCCTCGTGTCTACCCCTTTCGGGGAACAGCCTCCTCGTTGGCACATCGCCCGGTGTCTGGCTCTGATACCATTTGTAACGGCCCAAGCCCACCGCTAGCCGATATTGTTCTCTTTGAACTTTCCCTTTCGGGGTTCCCCTCAAGGCTTTAAAACGCGTTTGTTATAAAGGGTGTTCCGTTCTCCTCCCCAACCAACGTCGGATATCACAAAACTTATCAGGTTAAAGAAAACCATAATAAAAGCAAACAAGCATATACATACAGCATCCAAGTCAAGGGTAAGGCAAGGATCTTACATTTATCAAAATCTGCATTAGACGCACAAGCCTCGATGAACTCAATATTGCGTTCAATGCACCACTCCAAACATGACCTCCTAGTTTCCCAAGAGGAATCTTCGTCTCCCAATAAACTACTTCCTTCAATTTCATAAATTCCATATTCGCCTGTATCTGAATAATCTATAGAGGAGTCTTTATGTCTCTGCTTTTGCACAAGTTTTCTGTACTCGATATGAACTGGATGACCTGGAACAACATCTACTTTATTTCCTATGCATAATAATACATCAAATTTTTGTACATCAACATGAGCGACCCAATCCTGAAGGGTCACAAGAGATGAAAGCTGCAATGACAAAAATAATAGCAGGCATAAGAACATGTGACATCGATTATCACAATTTCACGCGAAATTAAAGAAGAAACAAAATGAAATGATGCAAATAGAGTTGACTAACATCATTCAGGTCAAAGACCATGACTAAGGCAGCCAACTGATTGAACATAGGCAACGCCTCAATGGAAAATTCCTCGTGCAAATGAGCCACTGATACTGACACATCGGCTGTGTAATATTGCGTATTGATAGTCCAACTGGTTGCCAAGGAAAAATAAACCGATTTTGAGCTCAAATTTACATCAAGCAACCTAATTTTCATTTTGATAACTGGGAGAAGAAAAATGAATTTTCTTTTACTCACTTACCCATGGACCGAAATTTGAGAGGATGAGTTCAAAGCATCTTCAAAGTCCACAGTGAGTAATCCTACAATTTCAGAAAGATATTGGGTATTGAGAATGATCAGTTTCTCTGATGCGAACGGTTGGGAAGGAGTCTCATATTGGCTAACTTAGGGAACGATCGTGGGTTTATAAGTAAGGAATACATCTCCATTGGTATGGTTATGAGGCCTTTTGGGGAAGTCCAAATGCAAAGCCATGAGAGCTTATGCTCAAAATGGACAATATCATACCATCATGGAGAGTCGTTATTCCTAACATGGTATCAAACCCATGTCCTAAACTTAGTCATGTCAATAGAATCCTCAAATGTCGAACAAAGAACTGTAAGCCTCAAAGGTGTAGTCAAAAGTGACTAAAGTGTCGAACAAAGGTTGTACTTTGTTCAAGGACTCCAGATAAGGAGTCAAGCCTCGATTAAGGGAAGGTTGTTCAAGGGCTCCATAGGCCTCAAGGAGGCTCTATGGTGTACTTTGTTTGAGGGGAGGATTGTTGAAAATTGTTGGGAGGGAGTCCCACGTTGGCCAATTTAGGGAATGATCATGAGTTTATAAGTAAGGAATACATCTCCATCGGTATGAGACCTTTTGGGAGATTGGTATGAGACCTTTTGGGGGAAACCCAAAGCAAAACCACGAGAGTTTATGCTCAAAATTGACAATATCATACCATCGTGGAGAATCGTTATTCCTAACACGAACTACCAAGTATTATGCTTTTTTTTTTTTTAATTATAATCCATGAATGTCAAGACACGCATCTAGACTAATCCCACTAACTTTACAACATTAGTCACAAAGGACAATTATATAATAAAGAAAAAAAAACAGACAACTAGCAAATACAAGTTGTCCTTCTATGAAATCGTGGCCATTTTTCTCCATTACAGATGTACAAGACGTCAAAAAAAATACTGAGATTGTACCCAGGATTATAAAAAGAACATGAATATTCAATGGTGTTCATAGAATTGAGATGTCGATCCAATCATTATCATAATGCTGTAGTAATTGAAAACTTCAGGGTCAGTATGGTTCCAACTACCAACAGGCATAATAACAATCAGCTTAATAAACTGCAACAAGTAAGAATTGAAACAGATTGCATTTGGATATGTAAGAGAAAGAGAATTACTAGAGAGGAGGGAGCGCTTGCCAACATTTGAGGATCCAATGAAAAGGATGCCAGGTCGGCTCTCCAAAGGAATTGGATTCAGATGTAATTCTTCACCCATGACTATTCTTTAATTGGAGCTCCCCAACCATCAAATTATTTTCTAATAAATGAACCAAATAAAGCACACATGAACAAACACCCAAAGACATTAGAAGTTTGAAGAGGTGTGGTGTGGTGTAGTTGAAGAATCTTCGAGCATACAAACAGAAAAATCCTTTACTATAATTTATTTCAATTCAATTAGAAAATGTGTAACTACGTGAATGATGGCAACAATCAGCAACAACAACCAAAGAAGAGAATATGGCATACAAACAGAAAAATTATATCGGTTAATCCTTCTCCCCCATTTGACTGATTTAAATCATCAAAGTAACTAACTAAAGCAAGAATTCACCACATCCACCCAGTTCGTTGTCTAAATTCTTAAGAAAAGGTAATGAAACGAGCAATAAGGTCACGTCCACTTTTTCACTGTATACTTGTGCCCAATCGATAACTTTTTTGCCACAGTTCCTCCCATTCCATTAAAAAACTCTATATTACTTGGTAAATAATGCTTCATTCCTCAGGTCTAAGTTCTTAAGAAAAGAAATATGAAATGAGTAATTACTTTTTCACTCCAAACTTCCTGTCAATAACTCTGTGCCACAAGTCCTCCCATTTAATTAAATTGTGAGATCCCACATCAGTTGGGAGGAGAACGAAGCATTCCTTATAGAGTGTGGAAACATCTCTTTGGTAAACGCATTTTAAAACCTTGAAATGAAGCTCCGAAGGGAAGCCCAAAGAGGACAGTATTTGCTAGCGGCGGCCTTGTACTATTACAAATGATATCAGAGCCAGACACCAGGCAGTGTGTCAACGAGGATGTTAGGCCCCCAAGGGGGTGGATTGTGAGATCCCACGTTGGTTGGAGATGGGAACAAAGCATTCTTTATAAAGGTGTGGAAACCTCTCCCTAACAGACGCATTTTAAAACCGAGAGGCGGACGGCGACACGTAACAGGCCAAGACGGACAATATCTGCTAGCAGTGGGTTTGGGCTGTTACAAAAAAATTACAAATGGTATCAGAGTCAGACACCGGGAGGTGTGCCAGCGAGGACATTGGGCCCCTAAGAGGAAGGTTGTAAGATGCCATATCGGTTGGAGAAGGGAACGAAACATTCCTTATAAGGGTGTGGACACCTCTCCCTAGTAGACGCGTTTTAAAACCGTAAGGCTGACGACGATATGTAACGGGCCAAAGCGGACAATATCTGCTAGCGGTGGGCTTGGGTTGTTGTACTCACCTTGCCTATACAAACTCATACACCAGCTTGGTCGTGCAGTATCATCTCACTAAGTGACCATATTTTTCCTCTCCCTTTCCATCCCAAAAGAAATCTATTGGGTTCCTACCTATTTTTCAGAAAAGAATAAACAAATGCAAAAGTCCTATCTTGACACCGGATGGTGGGCCAGCAGGGCCCACAGGGATGCTCGCCTCCCAAGGGAGGTGGATTGTGAGATCCCACATCGGTTGAAGAGAGGAACGAAACATTTCTTGTAAGGGCGTGGAAACGTCTCTCTAGTGGACACGTTTTAAAACCTTGAGGAAAAGCCCAAAAAGAATAATATCTACCGGTGGAGTTACATGAATTTCCATCTAGACGCATGACCCTTTTCCCTTAACATGGCTTGAGGACATTATCAATTAGAATGATCATAGTCTTCTTCTAAATCAGTTTTAAACTATCAACTTCGCCTTTTCATCCCTTTACACTCCTCCAGGATATATAATTCACAAGGGTTGATCATTAGACCAACGGGCATAGTTGAAGCTATTAAAACATAGAAGTAAAATCTCAAACCAATTCCCCATATCATTGAGGTATAACAATAATGGAATGCCAAAATGAAAACAGTTTGGAACTGGAAAAATGAATCCAAAGAACCATCATAATCTAGAAAGTAGAAGTCAGGGGAGTGTTACCTGGACATCTTGACCCAAAATCTGAGATACAACCAGAAAAGATCAGCCCAACAATTGTAGAGATTCGGGGTAAGAAAAGGACGATGATAGAAAACGCCTGATTAAGAAAGTGGCATCCGTGTAGGCGTGCGTTAAGAGAGGGTTTATCGAGCGGGGTTTCCGTCGACGAATTGGGATAGATGGGCGGCTGACGGTTGGACAGCGGGAGGAGATACGGGCAGATTTGTACAGAAACGGCCGCCGGAGTCAGTAATTTAATAAGAGACGGAGAAATTTAAGAAATTTTAACAAAAATATTAAACTTAACCGTAATAATACTGAATTTTAACTTATTTTTAAAAAGTTAATTTTTTTATTAAAAAATATTTATATTTATAATTGTTTTAAGAAAAATCGGATTACGCCCACATTTTATGTATTTATGTAATTTGAGTTCTTATTCCTTTAAAAACATTATATAAATTTTCACGTCACAACCCATGCACGTCGGTACTAATATTTACTTCTTATATCAAACACGTTGGTCGAAAAAAAAAATTCTTAAGACAAAAAGAAACCATACTTCTTTTGACATCGTTTGTATACGCAATTTTTTTTTTTTTCATTAACGACTCTAACCAAATTGCCTTTATCCTAAATCAAGTCTCAAGACTCAATATTGCATCTACTCTGAGCCAAAGTTCTTAAAATGCAATATCTTATTTCATTTCAACATCTTGATTTCATTAACACACCCTCGTGCTTCTACATTAATTTGAGACTTGAATCTCCTTTGGGTCAAAATAGGCTTGGTAATTCGAGCACTTACCAAAACAATCCAAGCAAATACCATGCTGATTGAGAACTATCTAGTTTCACTAATGGTTTATGTACCACCACAAGCTTTGCTATGTCATTTTCCTTCATAGCTCGCTTGGACACACTTATCGAGAATTGGTCCATAAGTAAATTTTATAACACTTTTATTTTCATATCAAGTCACTAGTGCACTCTGTGTTGAAACCTAACCCTATAAGAGAACCTTCGTCTTATGGAAAGAGGTGCATGTTAGCATACTCGTGTCACCGATATTGTCCTAAAAAATATTTTCAGAGTAAGTGTCAAGACACTCGTCTTGCAAGCTTGCTCATATCATGCCACGTGCATGAGCCACATGGTGATTCACTTAAGCTATCAAGTTCAAGGATGGTGGAGAGCCAACCTCATATGCATATGATATAACACAAAAGTTAACTCATCATACTTTACTTTTAAACCAACCAACATAAATGACATTGCAAAGGTTATCCTAAATAACCTACCTCCAAAATGCTATAATGTTTTCCCATCTATCCCTCTCCGTAAACTTGCCAAATCAACAATTATATGATAGGGTTCACAACAAGCATTCTCCTTCGACAGTTGTTTTCAAACTAACTTTGAGAAACCCAGGCTGAGTCTATTATCAATTACTCTTCCCCTACTGGGAACAAATTTCTTGGAGGTAATGTTCCGCATCCAATGCTGCCATGCAACCTGCACCTCAAGAAATAAATATTAGCCAGCAATAGGAATCAACTTGACTTGAAAACCATTATATGGAGGACCAATTGAAAACATTGCAAGTGAAAGAAAGACATGGCTTTCGTACAAGGAGGACATTTTTTAAGGCGAAAAGGAAAAGGGGCTAAATCTAAAACGAGCCAAAATGATTCTTGTCCAATATTGTTTTTGTTTCAAGCCTGAGAGTGTTCAACCTGAAAACTCCAAAATGATTCTTAGACACAAATTTTAAGCCAAAACCAGCTCTACTTTACCATCAAAATACAAATTTAAGAAATAATAGGAAGATGGATGGCTAACTTTTTTTTTTTTTTGGGAGGCAAATTTGGAGAGAAGAGTGGGGCAAGAGGGATCTACAATGGGACGTATATCGAACCAAGATTATATAAAAAGTTGTACTTGGTGAAGGGTTTGAAGCTGATATACTCACATTGTGGCAATAACTGTGGTATGTATAAATTTGAGCAATAAAGACCCCAAAGGCCTAGGAAATACGTGGGGCTTAGTAGAAATTCGAGATGGTTTTAATAACCCCAAATGTCAAACTAAAGTTTCATGAATGTCCTGCCTATTACCGTAATTACACGCATTGCCAGCCAGTTTCTACTTGTTGATTTTCGGTGAGATCTCACATCACATTAGTTGGAGAGGAGAATGAAACATTCCTTATAAGTGTGTGGAAACCTCTCTCTAACAGACGCGTTTTAAAACTTTGAGAGGAAACTCAGAAGGGAAAGTCCAAAGAGAACAATATCGGCTAGCGGTGGAGTTACATTTCTACCCCTACTTCTCATCCATTAAGGAATTCTTCATCCAAACTCTTGTACATTTCTTCATCACTTGACTTTTACCTCTAAAGGAAGCTTTCTATTAGTCCCACAAATTCCCCCATCCTAACAGATTCTTGCTAACCACGAGAGTAAAACTACCCCCTCTTTCCATTGACCACTCAAACTACCTCAACAAAGACCCGTTTATTTACATATCTCTCCAACAAACTCAGTTCCTATCCTTGTAAGAAAATATTAAGAACAATTGGGAAAGAAAACCCGCTATTTAATGTCATTGAGCACTAAAAGGTTGACCTATATCAAGCATTCAACCTTCACATCAAAATTTAGAATCATTTTATCTAATGAATCATAACATTAACCTGATCTAATCTAAAACAATAACAACAATACATCGCGAAAATACTTAAACACTCCTACTTCTCTGTTATGAATCAGGTTCACTACCATATTAGCATGTTAAAAAAAACCCAATAAACAAAACAGGGCTCCACAACTCATAAATTTACCATGAAGACTCATCCAATTTTATTTCGGGTTCTGCATAAGGGCTTTATGCATGTTGGATTTTTATTTTTCTTTTAGGCCTAATAATGATATAACAACAGAAACGCAGCTGCAATTACATCATAAATGCATTTTGTAGGTGCAATAGGATCCTTTTTGGGGCAAAGCTATACAATTCCATGCCCTCAAATTATATATTACCCAAAAACCTGTCACTTGATTTTCTAGTCTCCCCTAACACACCAACACCTTTTTCTCTCCATCCTCAAGTCATTTCCCTCACTTATGGCCATGTCTTGTGCGCCAATAGTAAGAGGAAGATGTTTGTTAATTTGTATGAGCCCATTACAGAATTTTTTAGTAAGAAGAGAATTAAAATAGGAAGAAGGAAAATGAGTGGAAACCGGAAATTTTTTCTTTATACTGACCCGTTCCAGCAGCTGTGATAGCTTGTCTGTACTTCTTGTCCTGAACATCACCAGCCGCAAAGACTCCCCGGATACTGGTCTGCGTCGTCCCTGGCTTCGTCAGCACATAGCCATCCGAATCGAGTTGAAGTTGTCCAGCTAAGAATTTGGTAGCTGGTTCGTGACCAATAGCGAAGAACAATCCGGAAACCTTCAAATCGGAAACCTTTCCGGAGACCAGATTATGGACCTTCAGACCCCCCAGGGCTCGTCCATTAGCGTCGCCGTACGCTTCCTTAACCACCGAATTCCAAATCACCTCGATTTTAGGGTTGCTGGAGACGCGCTGTTGCATGATCTTGGAAGCTCTGAAGGTGTCTCTTCGGTGGATAATATACACTTTGGAGCCATACTTGGTGAGGAAATTGGCTTCCTCCATGGCGGAATCTCCGCCCCCAATGACCGCCAAGGGCTTGTTTCTGAAAAGAGGCGCAGCGCCATCACAGACAGCGCAAGCCGAAATACCTCGATTCCAGAACCCATCCGCTTCGCCGGAACCAGGAAAGGTTAATCGCTTCGCAACCGCACCAGTAGCGACAACCACAGAGTCGGCAAGGACGGTCATGGAATCAGTAAAGACCTTAAATGGCTTGGATGAGAAATCGACCTTGGTTACGGTCTCGGAGTAGATCTGAGTGCCAAAGCGAAGCGATTGTTTGCGGCAATTGTCCATGAGTTCGATGCCAAGAATGCCTTCGGGAAAACCAGGGAAGTTTTCAACGTCGGTTGTGGTAGTGAGCTGGCCGCCGGGGGCAATGTCGTTGGCCATCCATCCTTCGAAGAGAATAGGCTTGAGCTCAGCGCGGGCGGCGTAGATAGCTGCAGTGTGGGCAGCGGGGCCACTTCCGATAACGCAAAGCTTGGTTTTAAGGGTCTTGGGAGCAGCCGCCATGGCTGTCGAGCTTGTTGAGCTGGTGGATATCGGAGCGAACGCTACTGGAGGAAGGACAGAGGCGGCGCAAATGGAAAAACAACGCTTTTCGCGGTAAACTCGGAATGGTATTCAGCCCCCTATTATTCCCCGGCCTCCAAAGCGAGTATCCATTCTCAATTGGACCAGCCTTCTCTTTTTACTTTTGACTTTGACTGTACAGGTTTTTCTTTTTGCTTTTTTAACAAAATTGGAATAAAATTTTGTAAACGATGTTTAAAAGAATTATTAATTAGTATTTATGCCCACAAAGTGCATATTTCTGATCTTCTAACTTTTAAAAGAATAACTTAAAAAAAATTAGAACTATAAATTACAAAGTCTACGAGAGAATATATTCTAGAATCTTTTATATTCTAGAATCTTTTGTACGGGATACAACTTATAAACTTAAATTATAGTTTAACATGTTTCAATATGGAGATTGGTCAATCCTTTGAACACATCTTTTGATTTAATTAGTTTCTTATTTAGTAGCTATCCTTACATACTAGTACTTGTATGCTTCTAGCTAGAATTTTATTGAAAATGGGAGCATATAGATGGATTCGGATCAATATAGAATTATTACACCACGTTTATTCTATCTTTTCACTTTCCTTGATCATAATAGGCATAATTCAAACAATTTATGCAGCTTCAACATCTTTGAGACAACACAATCTTAAAAAAAGAATCGCTTATTCCTCCGTCTTTCATATGAGTTTCATAATGTGATATTCCACATTGGTTGGGGAGGAAAACGAAACACTTGGTGTGAAAACCTTTTCTTAGCCGACGCATTTTATAAAGCCTTGAGGGGAAGCCCGAAAGAGAAAGTCCAAAGATGACAAAATTTGCTAGTAGTGGACTAGGACCGTTAGAAATGGTATTAGAGCCAGACACCAGGCAATGTGCTAACGAGGAGGCTGTTCCCCAAAGGGATAGACACGAGGCAGTGTGCCAATAAGGACGTTGGCCCCGAAGGGGTGGATTTGGTGGAGGTCCCACATTGATTGGTGAAAGGAACAAGTGTCAGCGAAGGCACGATATCTCACGTTGGTTGGGATGGAGAACGAAACACGGGTGTGGAAACTTTTCCCTGGCAGATGCGTTTTAAAACTTTGAGGGGAAGCCCAAATGGAACAATATCTATTAGCGGTAGACTTGTACGTTTTAAAACCTTGAGGGGAAACTCGAGAGGAGAAGCCTAAAAAAGACAATATCTGCTAGTGGTATACTTGAGCCGTTCACATAATTATAGGAATTTGTTCTATAAGCGATACGGGACTCAATGGAGTTATTTTACAAATAATTTCTCGTGAATGTAATTTGTTAGATAGATATTGTTTTAAATTTAATAAATGTAATTTGAAAGGTTTAGAGTTGTGGTTCGCCTATCGCTGCGGGTGGGACTCAAGATTGGCACCGCAAGCGGCTTGTCTGGACCTACTTGGGATGAAGGGAGCCTTGTCCCTCACCATTTACGTGCTCTTTGCATTGTTTCTGCATACACAACAAGCAACATCGCTTTGAAGCATCAGATATCAAACTATGGGATTCTTTTTCCCTTCATGCTTTATACTTTTATGGTTATGAACCTAGGATGAATAGGGAAAGTAGAAGACATGATAACCGAATTTCGACTCATTCTGGGAATAGTATAAGCCTATGTAATGATGCAAAAGTTCTTTCAATAACTTTTAAACCAACAAACGTAAATACAAATTACCCAATGATTATCCCGAATAACTGACCCCGAAAATGCTATAATATTTTCGCATTTATCCCTCCTTGTAAACTTATGAAGTCAACAATTATATGACAGGGTCTACAACAAGCACCCTTCAACAATCATTCTTGATATTTGGCCATTATCTTCAAATAATTTCTCAACGGCCAACTTTGAGAAACCCAGGCAAAGTCTATTATCAATCACTCTTCCCCTCCTCAGAACCAATTTCTTGCAGGTAATGTTCCGCATCCAATGCTGCCATGCAACCTGCACCACAAGAAATAAATCTTAGCCAACGAATCTGAAGCAACTTGAATTGATAAACCGTTGCGGAGGACAAATTCGAAACATTGTAAGTGAAAGAAAGACATGGTTTTCGTACAAAAGGGAAATGCTTTAAGGCAAGAAGGACCAAAAGTCCCATTGTCTTGAGCTCAATACATAACACAGGCTAAACCTCTCATCTTCTCTTCAATGGTTCTTAGACACGAATTTTAAGCCAAAACAGACTTTACTTTACCTTCAAAAACATAAATTCAAGGGCTTGGGAGGAGGGCAAAGAAATACTGGGAAGATCGATGACTAATTTTTTACTTGGGAGGAAAATCCGGAGAGAAGGGTGAACAATGGGGCATATATTGAAACCAAGATTATGTAAAAAGTTGTTGAATAAGAAAAATAATACTAATTATTAGAAAAAGAACTTAAGCATACCATGTTAGTAATCAATTATCACAATGTCAGGAAGCTTCTGACATAAATGTTAGCACAGAGATTATTGAAAATTTTGCTTGAAAATTTTGCTAGCATATACCATTGTAAGAAGGGTGAATAGCCAAATATGTATCTAGGATTAGCTTTAAAAGGAAACCACAAATCTTTTTCCTTCGGGAAGATTATTATTGAGAAAATAGAAAGCAAGTTGTCAACATGGTCATCATGTTAAACTTCAAAAGCTAGAAGGCTCACCCTAATATAAGCCACACCGAAATGCCACAAAAAGTGGCTACAGATATAGTAAGGCTATTCAGGAACTATCTGTGGAAAGATGGCACACACCTTATTCGATGGAATATCATAAACCTCCTAGCAGAAAGGGAAGACTCGATCTATTTTTGATAAAGAAGAAGAACAAGGCTCTCCTTGCATGATGGATAAAGGGATATCATCTTGAATAAAATGCCTTGTAGAGAGAAACTTATAAAAGCTAAATATACTCCTACTTCATGCAAAAATCGACCCCTCCATCTTCTGCAAAGGGGCCTTGGAAGTACATAAAGAAATATCAAAACCTTATCACCAACCAAATTCGCCATAGGGTGGGATAGGGTGGGTGATGGAGGAAGCACATCATTGTGGACCGATCCATGGATTGAAAACAGCATATACTAGCCCTGCGGTATCCACTTTTGTACAAACTCTCTCATAACAAAAGAGCCCCAATCAAAGAAACATGAAATGTTGTTAACAAATTATGGGACCTGAAGCTGGGTAGAAACCAAAAGGATACCAAAGCAATGGAATGAGCTCAATTAAGCCACAAACTTGCCCCAGTTGTATTGTCAAATGAAACAGACTCATTGACTTGGCTTCGGTAACGGGGTCTTCTCTACAAATCTTTGATAATAGACATACTGGGAAAAAGTAGAAGCAATAAATCTCACGCCGGCAAAGATAGTATGAAAAAGAAATCACCCTAAAAATGTGAAGTTCTTCTTTTGGAAAATAGAGCATAAAGTCATTAGAACAAGTGAAAATCTTCAAAAAAAAAAAAGAATGTCCTACATAAAGCTTCTGTTTCCTATGAAAATTTCCAAGAATTCAAAAACATGGGTGGTTACTATGATCCACTACCAATGTGGCCCATGGGAAGTTATTAACTAAATAGTGTGGGTCAGTGGACATATTCAATTAGCCTCCTTGCGCTTGCTCAACAGTGTGCTTGAGAGTATACTGAGTAATAAGGGAGAGTTATACTTGGTGAAGGGTTTGAAGTTTAATATACTCACATTGTCGCTAAAAGTGTGGCATGTATAAATTTTTTTAAGGAAATAAATAAATTAGCTGTTTGTGAAGTGAGTGTCCAGGCTAAACTCTTTCGCAGGTCTTTTGATTCACTTTTAAGGATTCATACCCACCCAAGAGGTGGTGTTAAACTCAAATAGGTAAGTTTTGTTAGTGATTGGGTATCTAACAAAATGGTAGGCCATGCAAGGATGAGTAACGAGATATGCCAAGAAGATCCATGGCGAGGCTGGGAGTTCATAGGGCAGGAAAAAAAAAATCAAGTCCCAATAAAGACCCTATAGGCCCAGCAAGTATCTAAGGGTAGGTAGAAATTTGAGATGGTTTCAATAACCTCTTGAATGTCAAACTAAAGTTTCATGAAAGTATACTACAATTACATTGTCAACCTGTCTCTATCGCAAGATTATTGATTTTATACTTATCATCCATTAAGGAGTTCTTCTCCCAATTATACATCTCTTCGTCATTTGATTGTTCCCTCCACAGGAAACTTTCTATTAGTCCACAAAATTCCTCCATCCTAACAGATTCTTGCTAATCAGGAGAGTGAAACCACCCCCTCTTTCCATTGACCACTCGAACCACCACAACAAATAAGCCCATTTGTTTACATATTTCTCCAGACTTGGAATAATTGGGAAAGAAAACCAGCCTTTAATGTCATTGAGCAACTAAAAGGTTGACCTACATCAAGCATTCAACCTTTAGATCAAAATTTAGAATCATTTAATCTAAAGAATCACAACAAGAAACTGATCTAATCTAAAACAATAATAACACATATCCAAAATAATTCGACGCTCCTACTTCTTTATCATGTATCCTTCACTACCATATCTGCATGTTCAAAAAACTCAATTCAAAAAAAAGCAGAGCTCCACTTAGATTTTAGCAACTCCTCATAAATTTACCATGAAAACACATCCAATACGATTTAGAGTTATGGACCAAGGCTTAAGGCATGTTAGATTACTATTTTTATTTGGGACAAATTACGAGAATATTTGGGAAATTACCACCTATTTTATGTATTCATGTTGTACAAGCCATGTAGCTTCTAAAAGTTATCTGCTAACCACCATTTGAGCAAATTGGACGTCACATCAGATTAAACTAGGGAGATGATTCCTTATCTTCTCCTATTTAGAGCGATTAGCATACATGTCTGTTCAAACAGTTTCTAGGAAGTAAACTGATTTTATGTACCCCATGCACTATCGAGGTTATACCTTAAAGTAGATAAATATTTGAACTTTTTTAAAATAACAGCAAAAAAGAAAAAAAAAAAGATACGGTTCTCTTTCTTTTACCAAGAATAGAACCTTGCTTCAGCAAAGCAATGCTTTTAAGTGCAAAAAGCTTTTGCCTGGTGATGTACCTAATGCCTCAAAACACAGGCACCAAGTGTTTGGAAGTTAAGGAGAGCATTAAAATGGGGAGAAGGAAATTGAGGATGGAAACCAGAAAGTTTTTTACTGACCCGTTCCAGCAGCTGTGATAGCTTGTCTGTATTTCTTGTCCTGAACATCACCAGCCGCAAAGACTCCCCGGATACTGGTCTGCGTCGTCCCTGGCTTCGTCAGCACATAACCATCAGAATCGAGCTGGAGTTGTCCAGCTAAGAATTTGGTAGCTGGTTCGTGACCAATAGCGAAGAACAACCCAGAAACGTTCAAGTCAGAAACCTTTCCGGAGACCAGATCATGGACCTTCAGACCCCCCAGGGCTCGTCCATTAGCGTCGCCGTACGCTTCCTTAACCACCGAATTCCAAATCACCTCGATTTTAGGGTTGCTGGAGACGCGCTGTTGCATGATCTTGGAAGCTCTGAAGGTGTCTCTTCGGTGGATAATATACACTTTGGAGCCATACTTGGTGAGGAAATTGGCTTCCTCCATGGCGGAATCTCCGCCCCCAATGACCGCCAAGGGCTTGTTTCTGAAAAGAGGCGCAGCGCCATCACAGACAGCGCAAGCCGAAATACCTCGATTCCAGAACCCATCCGCTTCACCAGAGCCGGGAAAGGTTAATCGCTTCGCAACCGCACCAGTAGCGACAACCACAGAGTCGGCAAGGACGGTCTTGGAATCAGTAAAGATCTTAAATGGCTTGGATGAGAAATCGACCTTGGTTACGGTCTCGGAGTAGATCTGAGTGCCAAAGCGAAGCGACTGGTTGCGGCAACGGTCCATGAGTTCGATGCCAAGAATGCCTTCGGGAAAACCAGGGAAGTTTTCAACGTCGGTTGTGGTAGTGAGCTGGCCGCCGGGGGCAATATCGTTGGCCATCCATCCTTCGAAGAGAATAGGCTTGAGCTCGGCACGGGCAGCGTAGATAGCAGCAGTGTGGGCAGCGGGGCCACTTCCAATAACGCAAAGCTTGGTTTTAAGGGTCTCGGTAGCATCCGCCATGGCTGTGGAGCTTGTTGATATGGTGGCGATCGGAGCGGAAGGTATTGGAGAAGGTGGGATAGAGGCGCGGCAAATAGAATACAAGGCTTTTCGCAGTAAACTTGGAACGGTATTCAGCCCTCTATTATTCCGATTGCCTCCGAAGCGAGTGGCCATTGACTATTTAGATTTTTTTAAAAGGCTGTTTTACGTGTCCTTCCGATCAGAGCATAGCTTATAATAAATGAGACATTAAATAAGATTTTAAAAAGTGGTGTCATGTGCCTATCGTGTAAAATAACGTTGAATTATCCTTTGCTTCTCCATTTTTTTATTTTTTGGTGCCAAGCTTGTCACCTTACCCATGGAGTGGAGTTCCTTTCCGGTATTTGATTCTCATGATTTACTAAACACGACTCTTCACAATGGCATGACATTGTCTACTTTGAGCATACATTCTCATAGTTTTGTTTTGGGCTTCTCGAAAATAACTCGTACTAATGGAGAGAGTATTATTTGATTATAAATTTATGATCATTCCCTAAATTAGCGGACATGGGACTTTTATCATCGAACATTCAAGTTATATGCATGTGTTGGACATAGCACGTTAGCCAAACTAACGTGTTTGTGATTCTTAGGTCTTTGAAGGGTGTTGGTGATCGATTGTGGTTGACAATAGCGACGAGGGTGAATGATGGACGAGGGTGAATGATGGCTTGGGACAACCACGATGGATGTGAAGATGAGAAATTTAAGGTTAATGTAGGAATTTGGTCATTTTTATATAATGTAAAATTTTAAAATAGAAGATGAGAAATTTAAGGTTAATGTAGGAATTTGGTCATTTTTATATAATGTAAAATTTTAAAATAGAAGTCATCTAAATAAGTCTATTTTAAGGTTTTTTCTGATCATTATAGTTTTGGGTTTTTCTGATCATTATAGTTGCTAGGCATTGTTGAGAGGGAGTCTTAAGTTGATTTAGAAAATGATCATGTATTCATAAATTTCTAAGCCATAAGCCATTTTAATAAATTAATAGTAAATCCGCTAGAGTTAATATTAAGACAATATCGTACCAACTGCATCAATGGAAGTGGAAACTGTGGAGGTCTTGATGAAATACAAGCAATCCGCAATGGCTTCCGCGTAGAAGGAGTTAGAGCAGCGGAACGATCTCAGCCTGCACACGGCGACGCACTTCAGTTGCGCAGCCGAACAAGGCTTTGGTCTCCGCCTCTTCTTAATCCCAATAATGGACCGCAAGCTCCGGGAATAGGAGCGACACCATGAATTTAAGATCCGCAACAGCCGCACGAACTTCGCCCGCAGCCTGGAGACGAGTGAATCTCCTGGAGTTGAGACAAAAGCCTCTGCAGGAGCGCCGCCGCCTAATCCTCTGATATGTAATAGGATCCATTGTCTAATCGGAGTTTCTTTCGGTGGAAATCGACTCTCACGTGAGAATGGTTGAAAGTTGAAACCGAATGAAAATGATTATTTATATATGCAACTGGAAAGTGAAAGTGGGGAAAATTTTGTATAATTATTTATTTTAAAATATCAGATATAAATATTTTAATTTTAAAAAATATTAATTAAATTGGTTACCTGAATTGCTATACTAATTAAAGTCTTATCTTTTAAATATAATTATGTATTCTAAAATTTTAAAGACATTTTAGATTAACATATTATAAACATTTATTAGTTAATTCACAATTTGGCCGGCCAAATATGTTATTATTATTTTTAATTTTTTAGAAAAAGGCAAAATGTTAAATTTAAAACATCTATTTATTCATTTCAAACATAGAATTAAAATCAATATTTATTTTATATTTAAATAAAAAATAAATACTTATAGGAGGTGATTATTGGTGGACCTATTTTAATTTAAAGAAAAAAGTATTTTTAAAAAATAATATTAATCATATCCCCTTTGGAAGACTTTCACGAATTTTTGTTTTACAACTATTAATATTAATTTGAATTTAAGATCCGGTCGGTTCAACTCTCTTTAGGCTCATTGACGGACCGACTCCGACCGAAAAAGGCTATAAACCGACCGATGAAGTTGGTTCGGTCGGTTTGGGTCGATGGGCTCGGTTTGTCGGAAATTTTTGGTGGCCTCATTATTACAATGTGAAGTGCAAAAAGGATCTGGCGGGTGGTGGTATTAAGAGTAAAAATAAGTAAAGAAATGGAGCCCCCGCCATTGCTAGGGCTTTGGTTCCATGCCAGATCTCTCTTCATCCAACGACGAAGAACATAGCAATGTCGTTGAAGCCTTCGGATTTGGACTCTTCAGCTTTTGATGCGCAATCTTCGTCCAATCCGATTCCCTCGGATGCTACTCCGGTTCCCTTGGATCCCCCCTCCACCTCCTCCACCCTCTCTGAATCTGAAGAAAATCACTGCTCATCGTCCTCACCTTCCTCCACACCACCTCCGGTTCATTTACCTCTCTCTTGGCCTCCCGATGCCACTCTTTCCCTTCAATGGATTCAGCATCTCATCGCCGCTTTCGATTGGTCTTCCAAAAATTTATCTCCATCCGAGTTTCCTTCTGTTCTTCCCGTCTCTGTTTTCGACACTCTAATCCTCACAGCTTCCAAAATCCTCCACAAAGAACCCAATTGCCTTAGAATCCTCGACGACTCAGTCGCCAGCAGCGACTCGACTGTAGTCGTTGTCGGAGACATCCACGGGCAATTTCATGATCTCATCTTTCTTCTGCAGGATGCTGGGTTTCCTTCTGATAATCGTTTCTTTGTCTTCAATGGTGATTACGTCGACAGAGGGGCTTGGGGTCTTGAAACTTTTATTCTCTTATTGGCTTGGAAGGTATTTATGGTCTGATTTTAGTTCTCTCTTTAGCACCTTCGCTTACTTTTAATCTTTCATGTAATCATGCTCCGTGTATTGTCCGGGATTTTATGTTATGCGTACAGTAGCATGTGACCTGCTGATTAATTCTTTTTCTAGTCTCTGTTCAATCTCTATCAGCTCAGCCTAGTAATTGTTCTCCCATTTATTAAAATAAAAAACATCGCATCACGTATATCCTTGCTACTTTGTAGTGTTTCTTTGCCTTGAACAGGGGGTTTTCATTTGATTAAATTCTGATGGATAATGTCTAAAGGTGTTTATGCCACATCGGGTATTTCTTCTTCGTGGAAACCACGAGTCCAAGTACTGCACATCCGTTTATGGTTTTGAGAAGGAGGTTCTAACCAAGTACGGAGACAAAGGTAAGCATGTCTATCGGAAGTGTTTGGGGTGTTTCGAAGGGCTGCCTTTGGCCTCCATTATAGCTGGACGTGTATTTACGGCTCATGGAGGACTTTTCCGCAGCATATCAGTTCCTTCATCTAAAAGATCAAAAGGGAAGAAAAATCGTAGGATAATCTTAAATCCTGAAGCCAACGGGTTATCTCTTGGTTCATTAGAGGAACTATCCAAAGCCAGAAGATCGGTTCTTGATCCCCCATGGGAAGGCTTGAATTTAATACCTGGTGATGTGTTGTGGTCTGATCCCTCGATGACTCCCGGGCTCTCCCCAAATAGAGAGAGAGGCATAGGTCTCTTGTGGGGTCCTGATTGCACTGAAGAATTCTTGAAAAAATTCGATCTGAAGGTAATTTTATCTAAGTCATCGCTTTGTCAATTAATTTGAGATGTTAACAATGTGCATGTGTGTGTGTTTGGATTACGATCTCTCTTTATTCTCTAAAAGATACATTTTATACAACCCTCCCTGGGTTTGGGGCTTGACCTTCTTCCCCCCTTTTGGTTATTTTCTGTCATCTATAAAAAATGTACCTTATAGGAGATACATTGTTAAGAATCTCATAAACGATAAGAATCAACTGAAGAGAAAGTTTTGGAACAGATTACCTTGATGATCAAGATCAAGAGTAAAAAAAAATATTGTTTCTAAACTCGTGATTCGAATCACTTCACAGCAAGTTTGATCAACACCACTTGAACGACTCTAGCATGCAAGTTCTAGACACAAGAATTTGCAAAGTGAAAAACTTAGCTCTCAACACAGCGAAAATAGAAACTCTATTTCTATTCTTTTCTTTTATTGTAGACATCACATTTTGAATTTAAAAGAATAGAGTTTCTATTTTTACTTTGTTGAGAGCTAAGTTTTTTACTTTACAATACAAACTCTTGTGTTTATAACTTGTATGTTAGAGTCATTCAAGTGGTGTTGATCAAACCTCTTGTGGAGTGATTCGAATCACGAGCTTAGAAACAAGTTTTCTTTACTCTTGATTTTGATCATCAAGGTAATTTGTTCTAAAATTTTCTCTTGGGTTGATTCTTATCGTTTATGAGATTCTTGGATAATTTAGATCTAAAGGTCTTGTTTTTCAACAAGGTTGTTAGAACAAATCCCAAGAGTTTCATAACATACATTTTTAATTCAAAATTTTAGCTAAAGGAATTATTATACTAGTTTTACTGGTGGTGGCGGTCAATGTGTCTGAAACTTGTTCTAAATGTTAAATAAAAATTTAAAATCACTCAACTATAAAATGTTCTCGAGTAATAAATGGTTGATCAAGGAATACTCTTCGATTATAATTTTTTTACTTGGACTGGGCCCAAGCTTATTTTTTACCTTTGTTGAACAAAAACGTGATTTTTGTATTATAGAAGTCAATTATACGTGACATGAACTACTAAGTCGTCTCCGAATCCTTGTTTCTAGGCTCTTTTGTAACTATTTGCTTGGTCTTATTTCTCTTGACGGGAGTCCTTGTAATTTGACTCTTTTTTTATGGGCCTTTTCTTTCTTGTATGCATGCTTATTCTTTCATTTTCTCCATCAAAGTCAAGTTTTTTTCATTGAAAAAATCATTGCAACTGTTTGCATGTGAAACCGTTGCATCCTTGAGGACAAGGCTACGGACTTTGACTTCTTTTTTGAATACCTTTCTTACATTTCTCTCACTTGATGTAAATTCTCCCTCATATTTTTAGCCTTACTTCTCTGACTTCACATTTTTTTTATAGGAGACAATGATGATTGAAATTTACAAAAGGATGTAGTATCCATGATGTTTACAAAGGCAATTTTTTTTTTTTTTTTTTTTTAAAATCATATTGACACCTTTGTCTCTTTTGTAATTACATCTCATCAATGAAATGAATGACGCTTGTTTCTCATAAAAAAAAAAATGAAAA